AAACTACCTGGTAGAACTCAATACAGGATGCTGATGAATAAATGTGCTTTTTTTACTTCCCTTCTACAAAAGAATTTTTTTAAGTTAGCAAATATTCGCATCTGACATGGTAATTTTTCACTGTTTTGAAGATTCAATTTCTGGAGGCTAACTTGACATGAAGCATGGCAAAACTTTTGTATTCCTACATTGAAAGTTACTTATGTGGGTGATAAACAGTGTTCACAGATATCTGTGTTACCAGGGTGGCCCATTTAAATTTGATCTCACTCGAAGATATATTATATTAATAAGGCTGATTTTATGACCAATATAATTTATATTCACAAATACCTATTTTTATTAGCACAAGTAGAGATTGTGAAGCAAATTTCCATATATGTTAAATACTAAGAGCAAGAATAACTAACATTCATATAGTGTGTTACACTTTATAAGCATACATTACCCATAAACTGTTCTTTAGAAGAATATTTATTGCACTTTCTTACTCAAGAAGGCACTCTGTTTTTACACTATAAACATCTTATGAAAATAGATTCTTTTATTAGTTTCCTTCCTCTCTTCCTTTCTCTCTCCTTCTCTCCCTTCCTTCCTTTCTTCTTTTTTCCTCTCTTAATGGGAAAACAGCCAGTGATATGTGTGTGTGTGTGTGTGTGTGTAACATGTGTAATTGCCTATCACACATTTCTATTAGAAAAGGAGCTGTAACAAGCAATCCAGCATGATTTTGGGGATATATATCCTGCCTACCAGTGCTCTTGAGGAAAATGTAAGGTTGCAGAAATCATTTCATGCCCTGTATGTTTCCAAACATAAATCAGGAAAATTGTTAGCAAGTTATAGCTCTTCTTAGAGACGGTGACTATAGTGCTATAGTAAACACAGGCTATATATTTTTCCAAGTTATTATGTGTGGAAAGAAATCCAAAGTTGGCTCTTTAGAGGAACCGTTTAATTCAGTTATCAGAAATTCATTTTCTATTTAGTATGAACATTTATTTCCAAGGGTTGTAGAAATGGGACATAATAGCTGATGATCCTTTAGATCCATCACCTTCAGAGTTAGAAACCTGCTCGTTTTAGCTAATGTGTGAACTACTGAACATCCGTCTTCAGTTAAGAACAAGTCAGAACGGTCCGAGGTAGAGTTGATAGTCTGATCTTTTACCCTCTTCAGCACAGAGCAGCGAAGCTTTGCCTCTGTCTCTTCATTTCTAAAAGGTAGGAGTTTGAGTTGGTGGTCTCCAACGCACTTCGCCCTTGAATTAAAGAATTGATTAATAATGAATGAACCAGTGAATTACATTCCTGTTTATTTCTATTCTGTAAACAGATTGCTGACTAAAGTATGACCTTATGCCATGGCCAGAAATACTAGTGTGTGGAGTAGTAATTGAGCTCAGGTTTAGTGCCTTGAAACAAAAGCTTTATGAAATTTTGACACTCAAATTTCATTAAAATATTTCATTTGCAGGTCAATGATTAGATATTCAAAAAACACTTTTTCTACAGAAGATAATCTTAAAATGCTGATTACTAGGTTAGGCCATAAAATCTATGTTACTTTTGTTAGAGTGAAATATTATATATCAGTGATGAAAAAATGTGAAAAGCAGTTCTGCTATGATACAAGCGATAAACATAACAAAAAGGGAATAGAATTGAATGTCAGTTTATCACTTATCTAGAAACCAGAGGGTTGAGGTTTAAGAGAACGCCCATATAACTGCAAGTTAAAAAGATGGATTACAACCATTGCAGAGTCTCTGAGGGGGATTTTAAGAAACTTTTGGGATTTTTAGCAGTTGGTTACAAAATTGTTGTCTTCCTCTGCCCCTCTTCCCTCCCCCCTGGAATAGTGTAACATTAGCACTCTTTCTAAGATTGTTACCTGTGATGATACTTGTTTTTTGACACCCAAATGCCTTGAAGAGCAGGAGAGCGAGGGAGAATGGAGAGGAAAATTATTCTCTGAAGTAATTGTCTAAGATGTGAGAGAAGAAAAGGTGGAAGGTGGTTGAAGGTAGAGGACAGAGGCATATCTGTGTGTGTGTGTGTGTAAGATAGTCTGGTCTGCATTTAACTGATCTGTGGGAGGAGAAACCATAAGGAAAAAAGGGCAGTGAATGGCTGCACATTCCACTGTATTAGTGACGTGGAAAAGCTTTCGGGATTGGAGTTAGAGCATCCATTTTGAAATTTGTGCTAGGCCACTTATTGCCTGTGTGATCTTGTAAAGTTATTAAATCCTCTGAATTGGTTTTATCTGTAAAAAGTTGAATAATAAAAGCATCTGCTTCCAAGATGGTTGTGGGAGTGGAGTGAGATCTATGGGTATAAAAGTGCGTGGAAACTATTTTTATAGGGGTGGGCAAAGGTAGGTTTACAGTTCATATGGAAAGACATAATACAATAATTAATAAATAGTAACTCAAAAATAAACTCTGTTTCACAACTGTAAACCTACTTGTAGTTGAAGGTGGTAAGGAAAAGTCATTGGGTCAACCAGTTCTCCATGCTGACCAAGTCTTAGGCCATTTGTTTTCACTCCAGACTGGTCTTTGATAGGCCTGTTTCCTGTGCACTGTGGCCCAAGAACTGTGCTAGATACTTTACATATTACTTTATTTAGGGAGGAAGCAGGAAATAGTATGCAGCTGGCCACTTAAATGCAGCAAGCCTGATAATTCTACCCTAAGTGATGCCAAGATGTGAGGAGCATGTTCAGTTTCCTTTACAGATGGCCACAGCTTGTCTAAATGAACATGTGAATGACTGAAAACAAAAACGATATATTGAATAATTGTTTTCTTTGTCTCAAACATGACCTGTCCCTTGCACTTCTGCATTGGCATTGATATTCATCTAAATTTCCTGCATTTTTGTTAAGGCTGAAGGAATCATTATTTGGCAGTAAATCCTCATATTTAATAATAAAAATTCCATTTAAACAAAGATTTCCAGGATATATCAGCACTAATTAATGTAATATATGAGCTGAACTCCAAGTTCTAGATTCTAGACTGATCTCTTTCTAGAATATTTTCTTGTTTTTAATGTCTGATTCACTGATAAATATCTAGCCAATTCTTCCATTGGAAATGGATTACATTTCAAAGCATAAAATGAAGCAGTAGGCCAACAATTAGTCAAGACATTTGGGCTGTGTGTACAGACAATATATCTTCAAAAGGCAAATCCAAAAATCTGCTTAGATCCTCCCTCAGAGTGGCCATGTGTTAAGTATTTGAATGGGATGAGACAAGGCAATTGAAAGCATTTAGTGCTTCATGAAAGAGACTACACAAGTTCCGGGAGGCAAGGAGGAATGACTTCCCATGTGGCCACGTGCTTGAGAGGAGTGGCCGTGTCTCACATGACTTTGTGCCCCCTCCACTGTGTCTGGCACTGTGCCCGATTCCTAGAGGAGGCTCAGTAATGTTTTTTAAATGCATGGATCCCAGGCACCGTGGCCAGCCCCTGACTTATGTGAGTGTGTGATTCCTTAAATCTTCACAGCAATCCTGTATGGTAGCTGCAATGTCACCATCTCATAGATGAGGAAACAGAAGTTTGGAGCTTTGAGGCAACTCCCAACCTCACGCAGGTAGAAAGTAGTGGGGCCAGGATGGGAAGCTAAACCCATTTGGCACCAGAGCCCAGTCTTCTCATCATGTTCTGTGAGCTCCTGGATGTCAGGGGTTATGGTTACTTCCAAGGTGAGCCAAGGCCTTCCTGGGATAATTCCCTGCTGCGCAGGCAGCTCCTGGGCTGGCGTTCAGAGAAGTGGAAGCACACGGCCCTGTGCTGCCTGCCACGTTGAACGTGGCCTTTTGTTAAACTGTCAGTTCTGATTTCTGCCCTTTGAGGTGAAACGCACCATCGTGGGGAAAATACCATATAATAGACTATCACCTGGACTTGTCGTTGGGATGGAAGGAAGAGGAAGGGCAGGGAGGAACACGGAGAATCAAGTGACTGTGCCATGACAGGGATCGAGTTTGCTATGGCAACCAATCGTCCCCGCCCCCTCTGTATCTTACGGTCTCTTAACTTTCCCTTTTAGAATTGGCAAGGTCTAGAATTTTCCTTCTCCCCCATATTAAGGGTGGTAAAGAGGGTGATTCCACTACTGAACATCCTATACCATGTCCTGTATGTATGGCTGCTCCTAGTATCTCCAGAGTCTTGGGATCCTAGTAGGTTCTACTAGTGAAGTTCATAAAGACTAATAAGAAAATGGCCCCCAACCAACCAAACAGTCACGTTCAAAGTCCAGCCTCTAAATTTGGAAGCAGCATACAGGTACCACCCAACTGGTGTGACTTCGTGGTTAAGCGCTGACCTATGAACTAGGAAGTCACGTTCTATTGGCTCTCAGGGCACATGCCTGGGTTGGGGGCTGGATCCCCAGTGTGGGGCGTGCAGGAAGCAGCTGATCAATGATTCTCCCTCATCATTGATGTTTCTATCTCTTTCTCTCCCCCTCTCTCTTCCTCAATAAAAATATATTAAAAAGAAAAGAACTAGGTACCACATTACCCCTCCCTAAATTATTTTTTCCTCGATGTATTTGTAAGGAATGTCAGGGGAGTCATAAATACTCAACACAGGATTAGTAACATGTGGATTTGAGGGTTTATAGACGAAAGAGAGAGAAATACGTTTTAGAAATGGGGACTCAGTTCTCAAATCCCATGAAGATAGAGCCCGTGGGAGGTCAGGATGGCAGAGGTCAGGGCTGCATGTGAGGAAAGTCCAGGGAATAAGCACAGCGTCATCAGAGGCCTGTGGGTGGGTAGCTGTGTTTGGTTTCCCAGGGAGCGCGCTGGAGGTGAGACCTGGTGGGGACACATCCCCCCTCCCCCCGCCCGGTGGTGGAGGCTGCCCGGGTGAATTGTGTGAAGTTGTCAAAGGTTGCTCTGCTCTCCAGCACTTGGCACCGGCCCCGCTGAAATGTGATGCCATTGGTTTTCAGTAAAGGTTCCTTTCTGCAGGGCTGCAAACACGGATCAGCTGCTCCCGTGTACACACAACCCGGGAGCAGACCAACCGGCACATTCCCAGCAGCCTCCTGCACCCCGAGACTGTCCAAGACCTCCTCTGCACGCAGGAACTTTCCTTCTCGGTTGTCAGATGTAGCACCATGCTCCTGTCATCAGATCCCAGCTAGGCTCCTGGCTGCACGGGAGAGAGGCTTCCTTAAGACATTTGTCCTTGAAACTGCACCAAACTCTTGGAAGAACCCAGAACGTGTGAGTATGTGCGATTTAGGCAATAGTGCAGGGCTGAGCTGCAATCAACCCTTATACAATATCCGATTAGCAGAGCAGGAGGGCTTTCTCCGACGTTACGTTACATTCATTTTCAAGTCGTTCTGAGGAAACAAATCAATTGTAGCTTCTGATACAGTGACTTTGCAGTAGATGGGGTTGTAGTGTGTTAGCTTTAACTATTTGCTGTTCTTACTTGGCATTGCAGTGTGACTTGGGGGACGATTATTGTGGGGGCAGTAAACTATACAACTTCTCCATGTTTATTAGGGATGATAAGTGTCAGTCATGTCCATCTCCAGAAACAAGTTTGCTTTGGGGGAATGTTTGTAAAGAATTAACCACAGAGATTCACGGGCAATTGAAGGAATTTGTACTGCCCTTGCTCCGAATAAAACATATTAGATTGCAGTTTTAATTTACTCAGAAAGAGTACATTAAATTCCACTGAGATTTTTGTTTTAATTGATCCCTACCCAGAGCTGTCTGTCTGGTGTTTGGCTGTCTTGCATGCCTCTGTGTGAGCTCCTTGCTGGGATTGCAGTCTGGTTAAACCTGTATGTAGGTGCTCTCTCGGTCCTCAGAACACTCAGGTGTGATAAACGCTCACAAAATGTGGGTGGGTGTGTTTGAAAGGGTGGTCTTCACACCCTTGAAGGCTGTTTAGATGCACCATGTGAACGGCTGTCAGATGTTGACCACAGACTGACTATTTCGAGACGCTCAGTCCAGTCTCAGCTTGTCCACTTTGGGAACTCCAACCCAGAAAAGCCCATGCCCCCTTTCTATCAATTTTTCATATGCGCCAATACCTACGTCCAGAAGATTAATTTCTCTCAGATTAGCCTGATTGATAGCTGGGCTGTGGTTTTCTAAGAGCTTGCTCCCTGTAACCCGGAGCAGAGCTGCATTCCATTTACCTAGTGAGTGTGAACACGGGTAACCATGGATCCAGCCACCACTAACCGCCCATGCAGCGACTCGTTGTAAACAATACAAATGAGCCCGGAGAGCAGAGGCAACCAGACATGAAATGATTTTAATAGAAATTACGGTAAAAGGTCATGTGATGTGGTAGCAGCTTCTGTTCAGTTTTAAAGGGAAAGTCTTACTTTTCTATATGCCCCCCCACTCCCACCCAACACATACCCATCTGCCACCAACCGAAGTTGCTAGATCTGCAAAGTTGGCCGTTCCCACTCTCTGCTCCCATGGAGAAGGGTGGGCAACGGGAGATTCTGGGCAAAGTGTGGGGACTTGTGGATTTTCACAGTAAGTGCCTTTATTTTAGAAACAGAAAGGGAATCCGGGGACGCCAGGGCTTCCTTCCTGGAAGGTTCTGCTGACTGTGGGCTAGTGGTCCTCTTGCTTTGAAGGAAGAGGAATAGGTAATTTCGCCCCTTAGTTTTTATGTATTTAACTGTCCTTTCTCACCCTTTTGAAATCTCTGAGGACTTGAATCTCAGTCTTTCTGAAAACTGTTATTCGCTTTCCAAGCAACTTCTGCAATATGGTAATGCAGTATGGTAATGAGCACCCAACCGGACCGTTTTCATCCACGCAGACCTTGGCTGCTCTGCACGGACCAGGCCTTCCCACACCGTGCGCCTTTCCCTGGGAGAGATGGTGTCTGCCTGCGTGTGGATATGACTGTGCTCTTAAATGTGCCTTCAGCTGAGACATTTGAACAATTTGTATTAAGTGCTCACCTTGTGGTTTGCTGGGTAGTGACACCAGCTTTGTTTAGTAAAAGGAAACGAGGGAAGAAACCCCAGCCATCAAACTGAGGAGGCAGGGGACCTAAAAAGCCGGCTTTGGAGGGTGGGCCTGACTGGTACTCAGCGTGCAGGAGCGAAGGGCTCAGATTCACGGTCTCCGGTCTCCGACAGCCACAGGCCCTGGGAGCAGAGGTCTGGCTGACGGTGTTGTGTCTCAAGGTGAAAAAGACCTGAACGGCTCTCCTGAGCCGTACCTCCTCCTGCACAGCACGTGATACCAATGAGCGTGTCAGCGTGGAGCAAAAGGGAATGACGTGTTCATGTTTACCTCCTGTCAAACTTTCAGATATTTCTCAAAAGATGCATAATTATACATGTATAGATAACATACTGAAGAATCGGATCTCAGGTATTTATTTTTCTATCAATACTGCCACTACGATAAATTCAATCAGCACATGAAAAAAGCATGAGGGTTATAATTGAGAAGCTCAGTAGGTGTAAGAGTATCTCCCTTCCCCCTTCCCCATATGTACTTAGGACGTGTTTCTAGCAAATTCTGTTGGATTTTTTGTTTGTTTTAAATATATTTTTATTGATGTCAGAGAGGAAGGGCGAGTGAGTGAGAGGTATAAACATCAATGATGAGAGAGAATCATTGATCAGCTACCTTTACACTGGGGATAGAGCCTGCAACTTGGGCATGTGCCCTGACCGGGAATTGAACTGTGACCTCCTGGTTCTTAGGTTGATGCTCAACCACTGATCCACACTGGCCAGGCTCTAGCAAACTCTTTGTTTAGACCTATAAGTCTTAACATAGTACTATGGTAAAACCTTTTTTTAATTATTAAGCTTTTTTAGATGTTGGCATGCCTGACTCAGCCAGGCTCTAGCAAACTCTTTGTTTAGACCTGTAAGTCTTAAAATAGTACTTATGGTAAAACCTTTTTTTTTTTTTTAAATTAAGCTTTTTTAGATGTTGGCATGCCTGACTCCATACTTAGACTGAAGAATGCTTCACAATGTCATGGTTAGCTAGGGCCTCCTGGTTTGTTTTCTGTTTAGAGAATATCTTGACTCATCAAAAAGAAACAGAAAAAGAAGCTCCAATAATTCATGTTGGGGGCGTGTGGGGGGAGAAGTACTTTGAAGGCAATGTGGGAATACAAAGTTTAAGTGAGGATTTGGGTAAATTATAATAAAACTTATTGATTTTACTCTCCCTGGCTTTGCTTCTCCAAGGTGAAGAACAGGAGTGGTGTTAGCCTCCGGATGGTTAGGAGCGCATTCTTTGGAGTCAGACATGGGTTGGAGTCTTTGCTCTGGACCTCACTGTGCGTGGGATTGTGAGCAAAGTGACTTCACCTCTCTGAGCTTCCAAACCCTCATCTGCAGATTGAGGAGGCAGGGCACCCCAGTGGGCAGGTGAAAGGGTTAAATGAGATAATGTCTGGCATTTCATAAGTACTTAATAAACTGTTGCTACTTTCACTGTTAGTTTTAAAAGGCATTAAGGGTGAGTTCGTTAAATGTTTGACCAAACAGAGCAGGCTGATTTTTAAGCTGATCATTTTGTATGGCCCGAGAATGATGTTATAAATATCCACATGGCCCTTGGCAGAAAAAAGGTTCCCCATTCCTGTCGAGGGTGTTGAGGCAACATGCACAGTTTATCCTATTGCCTGAGTGGACAGCAGGAGGACATTTAAAGGCATAAGAAATTCATAATTACATGTATCCTAAAAGCCTAAAAACAGTGGGTACCAGTTGTTCTCAAAGATAATGGTATATACTAAAGAGCGGTACCAATTAACAGGCAAGGAACATGGAGGTTGTATGCTACCAAGGAGACAGGTCTAGACAGGATTGTACGTACACACACACACACACACACACACACACACATGTGCTGTGACCTTTGACCTCTGATTCTCTTTCCTTCTTTCCCCTCTTACTTCCCTTCTTCCTTCTGTCCCTCCCTGTCTTTCCTCCCCCTTTTCTTTCTTCCTTTTGTCCTTCTGCCTCTTATACATTCTCTCAGCCACATAGCATTTCCTTTATCCTTTGTGAATCTAAAAAGTTCAGAGAAGAGAGAAAGCGGGACCTGAGACCCACGGTCTTTTTATGTTGCTCCGGTTTTATAAAAGGCAACTTTAAGAGGAGTCAGAAAACTCTGTTTTTCTTTCTGCTGCTATTGAACTGGAGAGGCACCTCTGAAGAGACCCGTACACCCCAGGGAAGCCCTGCTCACTAACTATTTGTTGATTCATTGATTAACCTGCAGGAAGGGAAGGGGCCTCACCCATGGAGACTCCCTTAGTAGTGAGAGCTTTGAAACCCCAGCTACACTGAGCAGTAGGGATGGCTTCTCGGTGACCTCCCAACAACTAATCTCCTTTAAGAACTGAATCAAAGCAGTGAAGGGGTTTTGTCAGATGGATTTTTGCCTACAGTTGGGTTTTTGGCAGTTGTGTGTGGAAGGCAACACATTCTTCACAAGGGTAGGAATCTTTTTCCAGAAAGGAATGAAGACGAGATGCCAGCAGTTATCTCTGGAGAGGGACCCTTGTTTATCCCTGGGACCATTCAGGCGGGGACAGCTGCTAGGTGGATGACTTTCTCACACTTCGCAGCCAATCTGCCTAACCACCCTTGTCTGGTGGTCTGGCCAGTAAGCACACACATGTGGTGGGCTCTTCCTTACAGTCTTCTCTCCCAAGGGCAGAGAAAAAGTCTGTGATTAGAATTGATATCATGTGAATGACAATGGTATCTGTGATTATTTTTAATTATTTTTTTCCCCATCCTTCTACTCCCTTCCCCTTTAGCAGCCATCAGCTAAACCGCCTCCATATCTATGGGTCTTTTACTATTTTGTTTTGCTTATTCACTAGTTTTGCTTTTCTTATATGTGGAATCATACTGTGTTTGTCTTTCTCTGCCTGACTTATCTCACTTAGCATCGTACCCTGTAGGTTCATCCATGTTGTTGCAAATGGCAAGATTTCATCCTTTTTATATGGCTCAGTAATATTACATTGTATATATGTTTTACTTCTTTATCTATTGGCACTTAGGTTGATTCCGTATCTTGGCCATTGCAAGTAATGGTATAATGAACGTAGGGGTGCATATGTCCTTTTTGAATGAGTGTTCTTGTTTTCTTTAGATAAATACCTAGAAGTGGAATTGCTGGGTCATGTGGCTGCTCTGTTTTAAAATTTTTGTGGAATTTCCATGCTATTCTCCACAGTGGCTGTA